GTCTGGTTTGGGTGAGCTTGGTCTGAATCCTGATCAGCTTATTTCTTATCTATAGGTATGTGATATGACCCCCCTCTCGTCCTTCTGAAAAACTGTAAATCAGGGTATGGGAGTCTGGGAAAGAAAAACTACTTCTATTTATAGTAAAACAATCTTCTTTTGAGACAGATCTAAGAAAAATTGCTTTAAGTTCCTGGGCTGTGCTTACTTAACCTATGATGTTAAATCTCTTTTTCTGACTTAGGGTCACTCTTCCTACATTATCTGTATAGCCTTTTATGTACCTAAACCCACTAAAGTAATCTTCAAAGCTCAGCCAAACCCCTACTTTAATTATTACAAAGACTAACTTAGAAAAAACAAATATATGTCTAGTCAAGATTTATCCAAAAATGTTGAGTTTTTGTTCAAGCTTTACCTACATGTTACACAGTAATTAAATATTCCAGACTGCTGTGACTGACCTTCTTGAATGTTTAATAACCACACCTAAAGGTCCACACTAATCTGATCAAAAGGACAATTTTTGTTCCTTGCCCTCCAAGGTCAGCTAAGTCCCAGGGGACTATGGGGCAAGAGATGTCAAATTTTAATTCACCATCTCCCTTCATTCCACATCCTGTATCACCAAGTTCTTTTGATTTTTGTCTTCTAAATAACTCTCCAGTTGACTCGTTTCTTTTACAAGTTCTCATGATGGTCTCAGATGACATTCAGATACGAAACTGTAAGAAGATTCTTTCTATACACAACATCGTACACCTCTCTTAACTTTCTAGCATCTAGGGAAACAAGACTCTGGGAGAACTTTAAAGTCTAGATCCGATGTGAATGTTTTTACACCAGCTCTGCTCTGTCAATACATGATTCCTCTGGGAAAGGTGTCTGATTGCAATGGTCAATAAACCTAATTTTTATACTCAAGAGAAACTCTTAAGCAATTAGAAGGCACTGATAAAATTCAGTGACTTAGAAAAAAATCTCTCCTCACTCTTTAGCTTAGGCTGGCCAGGAAAACTCATCACGTAGCCTGGGCTGCCATCAAACTTGACCATCCTACTACTCAGACTTTTAAGTGTTGACGTTATGGTGGGCCAAGCATGACTACCTCAAGCATACATTCTTAATTATTAAATAAATTACTAAGATGGGATAGACAGGTTGTTACTGGACAGTGGCCTTATAGCCACAGAATCTAAATCTAATACATATCTGTGATAAAGAAATGGAAACATCCCATAAAAGTTACCTTTCAACCTTATTTCCCAGTGTTTCAGAGCTGGTAGCCTATCCAATTACATAACAAAACTAAATGAGGTTAGTATTTAAAGAAACAACAAATTAGTGTTATTGTAATAGTATGGCTAGAAAATCCGTAAGAGTAAGAATTGAATATTAAAAATAGTAAAACAAAATTCAGGAAAATAGAAGAAAAAAATATAAAAATTTTTCTCTTACACAAATAATAATGAGTTGCAGCAATGGCCAGGCCTGGTAGCACATGCCTTTACTCCCAGTACTTGGGAGGCAGAGGCAGGGGATCTCTGTGAGATCAAGTACAGCCTGATCTACATAGTGACTTCCAGTCCAGCTAAGGCCAAAGGGAGACCCTGTCTAATAAAATGAGTTATAGCAATAATAAATTGTAATAAATAAAATGTATCATTCAGTACCTAATAAAACTACATTCAAATACCATTTAAACCACATTTATTAGAATAAAGAATAATATAAAAATGACAGAATTGCCTTGGCTAGGAAGACTTGATATTGCAAAGAAACAAATTCTCCATAAATTAATCAATATATAATTTTTAAACTTGAGAAAATGATACAAATACTCAACTGAAAAATAAATTCATTTAGTTCACACAAGAAAAATTCTGACATGAGACAGACTAGCTAGTTCCTCCAGATATCGAAAAGGATATGCTTCGATATAGTGGCCTTGGCAATGAGTTTTGGGGCTATCATCTCATATCACAAGAGCAAAAATACATAGGAATAGGACTACATCACACAAGAGAGCTTCTGTGGGACTAGGGGATGTCTCATTGGTAAAGTGCTTGCTGCATAAGCCTGAAGACCTGACTTTGTTTTTCAGCACCCACCTAAAGAGCTGAGTGTGGTGTGTATATTTATTCTACTGCTAGAGCGGCAAAAGCAGGATCACTGGGACTCACTGGCCAGCCAGTCTAACCTGACCTGGGCAAGCCCCAGGCCTCAGTGAGAGACCCTCAACTCACAAAGTAAGGTGGACAGTTCTCAAGAAACAGGAGGTTGACCTCTGGCCTCTACACACAGCTCAATCATACACACATACAGCTTCTGTGCAATCAAAGAACAATGAAATGGCAGGCTATGGATCCAGAAAATAAATCTTCAAGAGATATATCTAATAAGGGGTGAGTGTTCAAAATAAAGATAAAGAGATAAAGAAGATAAAGAACTCCTGCAACTCAATAGTAGAAAAACAAATAGCTTGACAAAAAAATGGTCAAAACACTACAAAAGACATTTCTCTAGAGATGGCAAATTATCTATAGGTATATGACAATGTGCTCAACATCTTTAATCATGAGGGAAATGGAAATCAAAACCACCGTGAAATACCGCCTTACATTTATGAAGGTAGCTACTAGGAAAAAAGACAAGAGATAACAAATGTTGGCAAGAGTGTGGGGAAAAAATTCTTTCTTTCTTTCTTTTTTGATCTTTTTGAGACAGGGTCTCCCTGTGGCCCCAGCTGTCCTGAAACTCACTATGTAGACCAGGCTGGCCTTGAACTCACAAAGATCCACTTGCCTCTGCCTCCCAAGTGCTGGGACTACAGGCGTGCACCACCACACCTAGATCCAGAGGTTTCTTAAGAAGTGAAAAAAAGAACAACTGAGCTAGGTGTGGTGATGCACACCTATTATCCCAGAATTTGGAAGGTGGAGGCAGGAGGATCAGGAATTCAAAGTCATCCTCAGCTATATAGCAAGTTTGAGGTCAGCCTGGATAACATGCAACCCTGTGTCCCACACACTCCACAGAGCCCCCTAAGCTCACTTTCATTCAGAGGCCGCATCATAGGAGCTTCTCCGCTAAAAAGATGCTGCTGACCACTTCCAGGGCATGTTTGTTTTATGTCTGTCATTGATTTAGGAACTCACAAAGAAGCCTAATTTACTCCTGATTTCCAAATGAAAAATCAAACATCTATTAGTGGAACTTTGTATTTCTTCATTCCACCACCTGATGAAACATTACATAGAGGCAATTTTCATTTGAGCTGCCCCTTCCCATTGGATCCACAGCCCCGATCCCCCTTATTGAAGTCTTTAATTCACTTAGTGGCACTCTCATCTTTCCGGCCACCCACACCAATGTTACAGGATACAGGCTTGACTGTGCTCCTACTGAAGTCACCATCGTCACCTAGTCACAACTTATGTTTTAACTTCTAATCATCTCTGAAATTTGTGCCCTCCATTCCACACTTTTATCCCCGTATTAGACTCTGGGCATCTTTTGCCTAAATACTACAAGACTTGAGCTGATCTCCTGGCCTCAGTCTTTCCTCTCTCAAGTCATATTTCTCCATAGATCTGCCAATCACCTATATCATCCTCAACTTACTGTTGCATTTGCAATAAACTCCAGGTTCTTCAGCATAGCACACAAAATCCCTTCAGGTCTGATTCCTGAGAACCTTTCCAGCTTATTTTCTGTCACTCTCACTTAAATAACTGTTCTAACCAATTTTTACATAGTTTGTAATTGGTGATTCAGCATCCAATCGATCACAAGACCAAAAGAATGGCTAAATTTGTGTTTATTTCACCACTAGAGAAATCTGCTCTTTGAGGGTGTGTCTAAATCACATCGTGGACCTTCCAAACACAAACTTTTGGTTCATTTCCTGCCCAATCAAAAATATTTCCACCTAGTCATTCACTGCTGCCTAATGGTGAAGGGAGAGTCCCAGTTCTTCTCTTCCTGGTGCCTCTATGTGTTGAGATTTTGTGTGAACCTGCGCCATCGTAATAAACTTGTCTTTCAATGACATTGACTTCTAAAGTCATCATTCAATCATATCACACACATGCTTTAACACAATGACACTCAGTGACAGAGACTGCAGGGCCCTCTAAGCCCACTTCTGACTAGCAGAGGTATTTTAATTGGATCACAAATGTTGAATGTTTTCAATTACCTGTTGAAATTTTAAAGTGGAAAATTTCTCATTAAAAAACAACAACCTGCTTTTATAACCTCTTGAGAAACTAGAAGAACTGGTCCACCTCAGGCCTCAAATGCCTACCTAGTTAAGCAGGGCCTGTCTCCTTGAGGCTGCATTTTCGACAGCCCCCAGACTTTCCTGGTATCCCCTGGTGGCTTAGCTGAATGCAGCTATTTGAGTTTGCCTTGCTGGCTGTACAATGCATGACACTGAATTACCGAGTTTCATTGGTTTGTATTGGCGCGTCTTTAGCTTGCATTCACAGGCTTCTGTTCGGTGCATCCTTTTCTCTTTAGCCGCCAGAGTAGGGCAACCCATCCTTCAGAATTCGGTTCCAGTCTCTAGGAGCTTTTCTCTGAGCTCATAAAGGACTCTGCCACCTTTGTGAATTCCATCGTACCGTGAATCCTTCTGTCACATCTCCTGCAACATTATATTCAGCGTAAATGTCTCACAAGTTCTAAATCACGTAGAGACAGACTAGAATTCTCAGCAGAAAATTTGAAAAGCTATTGATTTTGCTCATTTCATTTTTCTTTCAAAACCCCAAAAGATAGGGGAGTGAGAATGGATTTGAACAAAATACATTACATGTATGAAATACTCGAACAATAAAAAAGTTGGAGGAAAAAAACACACAAAGCAGGCAGCGACAAATGTGTATACATCTTAAAAATGGTGTCGAAGCCAGAGAACTACAACTCCCATCAGGCACTTGGCAGCTTAACCCCTACCATTCCCCGTGATGCTCCGCGCACCGCCGCCGCGCTGAGCCCTGGGCCACGTCGCTTTGGCGGCCGGAATACCACGCGCCACCTCCATGGCCTCGGTGGACACCTGGCGTTTGGGGGACGGCGGCGGGGGCGCCTTCCAGCCCTACCTGGACTCTTTGCGGCAGGAGCTGCAGCAGAGGGACCCGGCGCTGCTGTCTGTGGCGGTGGCGCTGCTCGCGGTGCTGCTGACACTGGGTAAAGGGGCGCGGGGCGGTCGCGGCGGCCCCGGGCCCGGCTCGGCGTCTGCAGGCCCAGGCGGCGGGCGGCGAGGGCACCTGGGGGGCTCTGGGTGGTGAGACTCGCGGCTCCACTCACCCTCCAGACCTCAGCAGCGTGGAAGGGGGACCCGGAAGTGACGGTTCTTGGGACATGGGTTACCTGCCCCGCTCCCTTGTGCGCTTGTCCACCTCCATCACCCGTAGGCCGGGACTCCCATGGTCTTCACACCAACTTTGAGCTTCCTGTGCTTGCTCGCTGGGTTGGGGATTACAGAGGCATTAAGTAACCCTGGAGGTGTCCTCAGCTCGGATAAGGGGCATAGACGTGGACAAGCTAACAGTGGCTGGCTTTCGGTGCGTTCCTCTTGTAACAGTACCGATTATAATAGTAAACAGTGAACAGTATAGTATAACAGTAAAGTCAAGTAAATGCGGTGTTTTGTCGTAGATGCCTGTCTGTTAATACTTTGGAAAATGAAGATGGAAGTTAGTTGTTTTTCTCTTATTTGCAGTGTTCTGGAAGTTTGTCTGGAGCAGAAAGAGTAGCCAGAGAGCTGTTCTCCTTGCTGGCCTTTGTGACTCCGGGAAAACTTTGCTGTTTGTCAGGGTAATGATTTGATTTCCAACTCTGTTAAACTTCATAGGAAACCTTATGGTATCCCAGTATTCCAGTGATCTCATGGTTTAGTTGATAAAAGAAATTTGGTCAGCAAGTTTGAGAATTCTTGGTTTGCTTAGAACAAAAGGACTCTCAAGAAGCCTATAAACAGCTTTTCTCTTTCCCTTCTTTTTTTTCTTTCTGACATTTAGCTCTTATCAGGTTTAAAGGCTCCATGTAAATGTTCTGTGGCAAAGGAACCAAAGAATTAAAGGTCCAGTAACATCCATAATTTGTTGAGTAATAAAACCTTCTGAGAGCGTCTCAAAGACCTTTTTTTGTAGTACCAGTTTTTGGATATTTTGAATTTTGGGATTTTTGCATAAATTTTTATCAGTTTAGCATCCCTAATCTGAAATCTGAAATGCTCCAAAATTAAAAACTTGTTAAACAATGTTTTACTCATTATAAAATGTGTTGTAAATTTTGTATAGTCCTTTGATTCTTACAGGACATTTTGTGTGTGTGTGTGTGTGTGTGTGTGTGTGTGTACATAGGTTCTCAGTTTGTAGCTCCAGCTGGCCTGGAACTATGTAGACCAAGCTGGCCTTGAACTCAGAGAGATCCTTCCACCTCTGTTTTGAGTTTACAAGATGAAAGTGGAACATGAAGATGCTCATCAAACTATACTTATTCATGAGTGATATCAGCAACTTTTTTGCTGAGTCAGATAATACTGTTAGAATACATTCTCTAGGGCTGAGGAGATGACTCAGTCCATGAAGTGCTTCCCGGGGAAGAATGAGGATCTGAGTTCAGATCCCCAGAACCCTTGTAAAAGACAGGCCCAGCAGTGCTTATCTGTCATCCAAGTACTGAGAAGGCGGAGATAACTTGGATCTCCAGAACTCATTGGCTAGCCAGCCTCACCAGTTGGTTAGCTCTAGGTTCAGTGAAAGACCCAGTCTCAAGAAATAAGATGCAGAGCAACTGAGGGGCCTGACATTGACCTCTGGGTCCTATACACACACACACTCAAATGTGCACACACCCAATGCATGCCTGCAATACATAAATAAACATACAGTCTCAGTTTCTTGTGCTAACAACAATTATAATGGCTATAGAGATAAAACACTTATAAGTTTAGCCAGCTTTATTAACCTTTTTCATCACTTTCTTTTTTGCTTTTTGTTTTTGTTTTTGTGTTTTTTTTTTGACAGGGTTTCCCTAGTCTCATTTCCCTGGAACTCATGATGTAGACCAGGCTGACCTTGATCTGACAGAGCTCTGCCTGCCTCTGCCTCCCAAGGGCTGGAATTGTGTTGTGTGTGTGTTTTAGATGGGGTTTCCCTGTTATCCCAGCTGGGCTAGAACTCACTGTGTAGACCAGACTGGCTGTGATCTCACAGAAACCCTATTGCCTCTGCCTTTCTAGTGCTGGGACTAAAGGCATGTACACCACACACAGCTCTTTTATTTATTTATTTATTTATTTATTTATTTATTTGTCTTTTTGAGACAGGGTCTCCCTGTAGCCCCAGCTGTCCTGGAACTCACTATGTAGACCAGGCTGGCCTTGAACTCACAGAGATCCGCCTGCCTCTGCCTCCCAAGTGCTGGGATTAAAGGCATACGCCACCACACCCGGCCCCAGCTCTTTTTATTTTTATGTGTATGAGTGTACTGCCTGCATGTAAGTGCACCTGTGTTGTGCAGTGCCTTCAGAGGTCAGAAGAGGGCATTTGATTCCCTGGAACTGGAGTTAGAGATGATTGTAAGCCGCCATGGTGGATGCTGGGAACTGAACCCAGGTCCTCTGCAAGAGCAACCAGTGCTCTTAACCACTGAGCCATCTCTCCAACCCTTTCATCACTTAAGTCTAAATAATCAATAAAGGAATAAAGGAAGCCTAATAACTTTTGTTGATTCCTGTGGTATAAAATAGTCCCAGCATGGCCAGTTCCAAGTTAGCAGTCCAGCATTGTCAAAGATCTATTTTTAGCAGATGATCTTCCTTTGCTAATTGAAGCTAGTGAGGCTCCTCTTCACTTATATTTAGTCTTATGTTTCCAGTATTTTTTTACTGAGTATGTTTTACTGTGGAGAATAATGTAAGGTTTTGGCCCCCTCCCCTTCCTATGGAGAGAAAAAAAATGTCTTCTTTCCACTAAAGAAATAACCAAAAAAGGAGGGTATATGTCTGATTGTGTGTGTGTGTGCATGTTTGTCACTGTGGGTGCTTATATGCCCTGGCACATGTGAAGGTCAGAGGACAGCCACAGGTGTCAGTCCTCACCACCTCCCTTGTTTGAGACAGGGTCTCTTGTCATTTATTGCTGCTTACTCCAGGCTAGCTGGTCTGTGAACCTCCAGAGAGTCTCCTATGTCTGCCTCCCATTTTCCCCCATACTAGGATTACAGATGCGTGCAGTACAGCATCAGGCTTTTACATGGTTTCTGGGGATCTGAACTCAGGTCTTCATGCTTGCATAGCAAGCACTTCACACACTGAGCGCCTCCTTAGCCTTTAATTGATGGCAAAAATGTTTATGTCAGTCAGTGTGGCCCCTTACCATTGTTTGAAAATCATGTTGAACTGAGGGTGCCAGTCTTGAAGCAAGTCTGGGCTCTGGGCTGGATCTGCAGCACTGCAAAAAGAGAAACAAAGCTTGTAATTACGTTTTTCTACAGGTTACGAAGAAATCAGCATCATCTTTTTTTGCTATTGCAAATAGCATTCATTCATTTGACCATCTACCTGGGAGAGTTCAAATGTAATTCTTCAAATACGTTTGCTATTACTGTAATGTGCTTACCTTGATCACTCCCATCTTGTTTTTTACAGCTGTTAACAGGCCATTACAGAGACACTCAGACTTCCATTACAGATAGCTCTGCTGTGTACAAAGTCAACAATAACAGGGTAAGGTATCTGTGCAGTATTCTGGAATCTGACACTTTTTGCTGTGTGTTTTAGTTAGTTTTTCTGTTGTTGAGGCCAGAGGCAATTTGGAAAGGAAAAGTTTCATTTGGCTTAAACTTCCAGGTCCCAATCCATCATTAAGAGAGGTCAGGGCAGGAACTCAAGTCGGGAGCCATGGAGGGAGGCTGCTTGTTGACTCACCCTCTGGCTTAATAAGCTAACTTTCTTAAATAGCCCTCTACCACCTGCCTAGGGATGGTGCCACCCACAGTGGACTGGACCCTTCTGCATCAGTTAATAAACCAGTCCCCCACGTGTTCCCCACAGACATGCCCACAAACTAACCTGATGAAGACAGTTCCTTCATTGAGGCCTCTCAGATCAGTGTAGCCTGTGTCAAATTGGTAAAGTTAACTAGGACACTGGTGGTATAAAGGAAGAACCTTTTTGGAATGGAATAGTCTGAGCATGTAGGTATCATTTATAACTTATGAAGAACATGCCCTGTGTAACAGATTCTGCCCTTGGCAATCCAGGCAGCAGATTGAATGTGCTCACCTCCCTGTGGCTGTAACTTGTGTGCAGTAACGTTACAGTTTATGCTTTTTTCTGTCTTTCTAGCATTACTATGACTTTTGAGTAGGTATTGCATCTTCTTCTGTTATGTTTTAAGTAGCTAGTATATCAAGAGACAAAAGTTTGGTGAAAAGTAGTTTTTTTCTTTTCCTGTCTCCACTACCCAGCTTTTTCCTTAGAAGCATTAACTGTGCCTTTTTGTATTTGTACTTTCCAGTGTTCAGTGTATATACAAATGTGTGGGTGTTGGGACTAGAACCCGGGTCCTGTATAAGAACAGCCATTGCTCTTAACTGCTGAGCCATCTTTCCAGCTTCCCAAGCACCTCCTTTTTATTATTTATTTATTTATTTTTATTTTATGTGTATGAGTGTATTGCCTGCATGTATGTGAGTGCACCCATGTTAGGCAATGCTGAGGAGGTCAGAAGAGGGCTTCCGATTCCCCTGGAACTGGAGTTAAGGACGGTTAGTAGCCGCCATGTGGGTGCTGGGAATTGAACCCGGGTCCTCTGCAAGAGCAGTCAGTGCTCTGAACCGCTGAGCCATCTCTCCAGCCCCAGCACCTCCTTTTTTAAAATTTATTTTTTCTGTGCCTCATGTGTGCTAGGCAAGCACTGAACCACTGAGCTACACCAGTGTTTATTATTAGAAAATGCTCCACAAACATTTGTGAGACTTATTAACTTCAGTAAACATTTGTTTGATTCATTGATTCAGCACCAGCATTGGGACCCATAATCTGATAGTAAAGATTTATTTTGTGAACCTGGAACTGGACTGAAATGTTAATTTAATACTGTTTCATCTTCAGGGCAATAGCCTGACTTTGATTGACCTCCCTGGGCACGAGAGCTTAAGGCTTCAGTTCTTGGATCGCTTTAAGTCTTCAGCCAGGTAAGTAGGAAGTGACATGAGTCTTTTGAAGTCTGTACAGTGTGTGGTGTCCACTCACGCTGTTTGCTCTAATGGGACTGGCATCATGGTGTCTTGGATGGAAAGAATATGGACCAGCCATTTCTGGTTGCAAGCCCAGCTTTGCTAGGATTGTGAGGCCTTTATGCTTCAGAAGAGTTTCTCAGATTGTCAGGAAGTATTACTTCCATTAGCATTATTATTAAATTTGACATTAACTCTGAAGATAAATTTAATGACGTTAGGACTATTAAAATCTGGAAAAGGAATTTTATGGCTAGGGTAGATCCTAGAAGATATTGGGAATATCTGAAATAATTACTCATAAGTCTATTCTTTTTTATTTTGAGACAGGGTCTCTCTATAGCCCCAGCTGGTCTGGAACTCACTATGTAGACCAGGCTGACCTGGAACTCACAGAGATCCATGTGCCTCTGCCTCTCAAGTGCTGGGTTTAAAGGTATACGGCTCCATCTCTGGCCTGAACTTAAAAATTACTGATCCCCCTCCTAAATGTTGGGATTATAAGTGTGTGCTACCACACCTAGCAAGTGTTTTTTTCTTTTTCTTTCTTTTTTTCTGTCAATAAGAAATTTACTTTTTAGAAAAAAATCCAAATGCTGGCATTGTTCACAAAAGGGTTTATTTCTAATTGTTATAAAGTTGAACTGCTTGCTGTGCCTGAACTTAAAAATTACTGATCCCCCTCCTAAATGTTGGGATTATAAGTGTGTGCTACCACACCTAGCAAGTGTTTTTTTCTTTTTCTTTCTTTTTTTCTGTCAATAAGAAATTTACTTTTTAGAAAAAAATCCAAATGCTGGCATTGTTCACAAAAGGGTTTATTTCTAATTGTTATAAAGTTGAACTGCTTGCTGTGGCTGGAGAGATAGCTCAGCAGTTAAGATCACTGGTTGTTCTTGTAGAAGACCCGGATTTGGTTCCCAGCACACACTTGGTATCTAACAATTGTCTGTCACTCTAGTTCCAGGAGATCCAATGCCCTCTTCTGGTCTCCAGGGGCTTTCT